GATTATTGAGTTTCTTTACTCCGCCCACCACTTGTAGGTCACCTATCGTGACTTGATTTACCTCCTCGTAATCAAGTAAGTTTTTACAAAAGCTTCACAATCTCCTTTTGTACAGATCTCAAGAAGCTCAAAAAAAAATCGTCCCCCACCGCCTAGCTCTGATACCAAATTGTTCAGTTTAGAGGCCAAATGAAAATTGATTTTATTACAAACATACCTTACCACACCACACCAGATTCCACCGAAGCTAGCACCTTACTATTTAATTATATCACTCCACTGACTTTCTTGATTAATTTCTCTCACGCACACCACTCATACATGTGTGCCTCTCATTCTCTATCTATCTGCTCACCTTTCATCACTCTCTTCACACACACTTTCATATACAGCAACACACATACATAGAGGTAACAAATTCGGTGCTACTAGGGAGATGTATTGAGATCAATGTCGGTGGAGGTGGCTGCATCAATTCTAGAATAATCCTACAATGGCGATACTTTGTTTCCGGCAAGTAATGAGTCTCTAGAATATTCTGCATGCTTAATGTCTAGCGAATTCTAGATATTTAAAGTTGGTGATGATTTCTTCAATTCTCCCCTTCAGTGCCAACTTTTCAGGTTCCACCCATGCTTCCACACACACCACACACACACCATCTCAGAGCCACTAACCCTTAAAACGCTACTATTGACAATATATTACTTTGAATTATCTCTAGTAAGGACTGATATATACAGATGTTTGCAAAAACATTAGTTGGAAGATTAGGCAACTTACATCCACACAGCACACCGAACATGATTACTTGAAGATACATCCACACAATTTGCAGCAGTAGAAGTTCTCATCTCTACATAGGGCAGAATACCTCTGCTGAGGTTCTTAGCATTAGAAGTCCTTGGCTCTACATATGGCACAATATTATTGTTCATTTTTGCAGTATTAGAAGTGTAAGGCTCTACATCATGCAAAATACCATTGTTCACTCTCAGCATCAAAGTCCTTGACTCTACATCTGGCAGAATACTACCATTTATGTTCTCAGCATTAGAAATCCATGGCTCCACATTGTTACGTGAAATCCCGCAAGCGTACGGGTTCGTTGTATAAGTAATAATCGTGATGAGTGAGTTATTGTCCCATAGAGAATAAGGCTCAATTTTAGAGTATTCGATATATTTAAATTCGCAAATATAA